TACAATTTGATATATTATACTATAAATATTAACTAGTTCGGTGATCAGTTTAACTCTAACTCATTTTACTTAAGTAGTTTTATACACAATTTGATGTACTAGATAATCATTAACAATTTAGCTAGTTTGATAATCAGTTTCACATACTTAACTGATTATAGTGATTAATATAGTTTTATACGTCTAAATATGGATGAAAGGGGATGAAAGTTTAGTCGGTTTGGGGGGCTTGGCGAAAGCTTTGCTTAATCGTGTGGAGAAAGCTTGTTAAATGGATTTTTAGGGAGTTTGATTGGGTAATTGGTTTGGGGGCTTGGAGTAGACAATAGTTTTATGACTTGGCAATGGACAAATTAAGCTCTAAAGAGTGCAAACTGCAGAGTAGATTGGTTGTGAACTTGTGATCATGGGGTTTTGTAATTTTGAAGGGGGCTGTTCTTGTCTAGCACTTGGAATTGCAATTGGGAGGTTCAGGTGATGTCTTGGGGCTGCTTTTTTTCTAAGGATCAATTGCAGGTGTGATAATGCACGTTGTTGTTGGATTTAGGTTAGCATTAAGTGATTTCTGAAGGGTTACTTGATATTTGCTGTTGCGCATCCTCCGGGTTTCCGCACTCTGCGGTGTATTTTTTGTTTACAGGTGTTTTTTGTTTAATTGCAGGTGTGTGTTTTGTTTCTCATTTTAATAAAAGTTTTTATTTTAAAAAATGGATGTATAGTTATATGTACATTTGAGTTTAATTTCTTCAGAATGAATGATTTTTATCAGTTCATTACTCAGATTGAATGATTTTTAACAGTTCAGTTTGAATGATTTCTAACAGTTCATTATTTCTTCTTTAAAAAAGTTCATTATTTCTTCAGATTGAATGATTTGCTTAATTGAATTTTTCAGTTAACTAATACGGAGTATGTGGAGGAACAAGAAAGTTCAGAGTTCAAGTTTGCAGAAGATGGTCTCCGATTATCTGTGAGACTGGTGGTTGGTCCCTTGTGTTAGAAGTATGATATAGATTTTTTTTACTTTTGTAATCGTAAGTAGTCTGATGCGGTGTATGTATTTCTTGCAGTTTTTGTATATTTGAGCTGCTGCACTTTGTTTAATCTGTAAATTTTGGATGGATGGAAGTCATGGAACTAACAATTGTCTATTTGTTATTAATGATATTATAAATGTTGGCAAATATATTGTAACATTGATATGACATCGATGATTGGTAGTCTGCAGCAAAAACAGTAAGACGTCGGTGGCCTTGCCAACTGACGTCGAATTTATTATTTTTTTTAAAACAAAAATCATACTAAGACGGTTCTCGAAAAGAACTGACGTCGTAGGCTATGTCGAGCTTCATTTTTTATGTCGGTTGTGACAAATAACCGACGTTATAGATTTATTTATTTTTAATTCAAAGAGTTTTTATGTCGGTTTTCGAACCGACGTAAAAAGTATATACCTATTACGTCTCTCACCTAGACGTCGGTTGCAAAACCGACGTGAAAGGGTCAAAATAACCGACGTTAAAAGTCAATTCTCTAGTAGTGCAAATGCTTTCCTCTTGAACTTTGTGCCTCATATCAACTTGGTACCTACGCGAAGGACATACAAAATCCAACGCGCTAAGCAAATCTTGCTTAGTGGTGTTCATTCTTTCTCTTTACAATTTAATGTCAAATATCACATAGTAAATCAACAATTAATAATGACATTGCAAATATACTATATTGCAAAATATAAACTTAATCCATTTTGTTCCGAAATAGCTATTTAGTAATATAAGAAAAAGTCAACTCTTTCGTTGGAGTCTTTAATAACTTATAATACATCCCTAAATTCTCTGTCTCATAATCAAATATTCAAAGTACAATCCCTATTTGTTATAGTAACATGTTAACCTTTGTATATCAGGAAGAATACAAAATCATCAATCAAATTAGTTATTTCAAAATATATATAATATCACTTCGTTTGTAGTAGCTAGTTCATTATACTCCATTTGTTCAAAGTAGTTATTATAATACACTTCTAAATGTACAATATCCGGCCATATTAATATTCTACTCTTTGATAGTTGAGCTGTTAATAACTCGTAGTTTTCTTTATAACATATAGAGCGATATTCAAAATATACTTTTCATTATGCACATTTTCTTTCAATGCTCTCTATCTCGATTTTCCCCACTTTGTGTCACAGTCGAAATTCACATGAGCTATATCTAGTTGTAATTCAATATTCCATTTGATTTTCTTCTTGTCTCAGCTCACTTTAACTTTCAATGCCTCAATTTTCATCTTCTGCTCAATGTCAATCTCTCTATTTTCGATCTTTTTCACACTTTTATTAAGTTTATGGAATTCTACTCCTTAATTTAATGGACTGGATAAACGGGACATTCCTCATCTGGTACTGTCCACTCCGTGGCTGCGGACCATCTGAGTAGTATCAGCCTGACCGTTGTGTGGGTCAGGTCTTTCGTTTGGGTACTGTCCACTCCGTGGCTACGGACCCTAAACGATCAAAGTTCAAGATTTGGGTACTGCATGTCCACTCCGTGGCTGCGGACCCATAATTTAACGTCATAATTCGGGTACTATCCACTCCGTGGCTGCGGACCCGTAATTAATCGATTAAATTCTACGGCCGTATTAACTATCCCTATTGGCATGCCAACCTATCCGAATCCAGAAACAAGATTTCGAATTCCATTTATTTTATTCATTAAGTTTTTATCATTAATAGTGTTAAAACTATTGTTTTCCGTTTGAAAATAATATCTCATTATAATCAACATAATTATATCATAATGATATTTTAGATTGTGTTTATGTAAATAAAAACAATAATCCACTTCGATATGTATAATCTAATGATCCCGATCTAGTTCATTCACTACTGTATCATGTATATATACATATGTTACTCACTGGTTCGGCTCCAACTGACATGGAACTCATTATATTTCATATAATGTATGATTTTAATTATTCAATATGTATAACATTGTCTTTAGATATAAGTATATAACTCATTCAATGCGTAATAAACTTTCGAATTCACTTTACACAATAAGTTACTTGCATGCATGTACTTGTTTTCTATTATAATTCATCTAATTTTACAAGCAAACACTAAGATATAACCGTTTTCCTTTTAATATTATATTCAAGGTTGTAATTTTACGAAAATGTAATCTCATATCACATATCATTTTCAATATTAGACAATCATATATCATCATTTGAACCAAGTAAATGTAATTCTATAAGCTGAACCAAGTAAACGTCCATTATAATTTAAAACCGTTATATTTTGTTTCTAACATTTTACCACCCACTTCCTTAAAATAATTTATAGCATGTAACGTGTCTTTAATTTGTAAGTAAAAAAATGTTATTCTTCAAACAAATAATAGATCAACATGCAAATTAAAACATAACAGTTTAGCTAAACACTATATTTACACTGAAGTGTATCAAAAGAATTAAAATGATAACAATATAATCTAAAATATATTTAGGAGAAGGAATGAACACAGACCTTAAGTTTTGACAATTTTTCCTCCCTACTTTTCCTTTTCCCTAACCTCTTAATCTGTTTTTCCTTTTCTTGCTTCTCCTCTCTTTGTTCCAGGAGACTCAAATCCCTTCACCTCACTATTTCTTCTATCTTATTAATTCTCGTCCTTTTGTTTTTATAGCAGGCATGAGTTATTCGATCTTATTTAGTGTTATTATATGAGAACACTAGCTAGCATTCTTTCCTTAATTCCCTTTTACACATGTCTGCATGTGTATTTATATTGCCCAGATTACTTTGTTCTCTTTTGCATGCATGCATTTAGTGTGCCGAGTGGCTTAGGAAATTATGTTGTTTATTTATTGATTTTGTTTGTGTTTGCATGATACTTGACATTTGTAGTGTAACGTGAATGCCCAATTGTCTTATACTAAGATGCATACATGTGTAGTCATAGACTCATATACAAAATAAATGTGTTTCTTTACATTTGCCAAGTGTTCTCTTGATTGTTTTAAAAACAAAATATTCCTGGACTACTTTAATTTCTAGACCATTCCTAATTCGAAGGAATTACCAAAAAACGGGACTTCCCCGTCTGACATTCCAAAAAGCGGGAGTGTCAATTAGGTTACAAAAAAACGGGAGTCGGATTTCCCAATTCCGACTGGAGATTAGGGTTTGCGAAAAAGGGTGATTTACCAAAAAGGGGGAAAAGGGGGTTGGGGTTGCCAAAAAACGGGGATTTTTTTAGGGTTTACCAAAAAGGGGGAGTCGGAACTCGGTGTTCCGACTAGGTTTTAGGGTTTTTAAAAATGGTGTTCTCCCCTAGTCGGATTAGTGAGTTCCGACTAGGTTTAATTTTTTTTTATTCGAAATATGGTTTTGAATTTTAGTTAATGGTTTCGAAAAAGCAAAAAAAAAAATCCCTCCCCCCCTGGTCGGATTACCTAATTCCGACTAAGGATTTTTTTTTTATTTCACTCGAATTTTGTTTTTGATTTTGAGTTCGAAAAAAATTTTAGTGTTAGGGCCAAATTATATCAATTCCAAATTTAAAATTTTTTTTAGATTCATGACATATTTATTAAAATGAAAACTTAGCATTATGATTATTTTAGTAAGAAAACAATTGATTGCTTTAAATTGTTTTTTAATCCATTTGTATTGTGAAATTTGTTTTAATTGCAATTTTGGTAATTTTAAGTGCAATTTTGATTTACTCCATTCGTCTAATTAGATAAAAATTTCATTTTGTTTTAAGTGAATTTTTTTGGTAATTTTAATGCAAGTGAACAAAACAAACGTAGTTTTCAATATAATTTCTTAATAAATAGACGGTACATACAAAATTAAATTTAATACTACATCTAATGTTGCCTGCTCGGCCCTGCTCCATCCCCACCGCTAGTGTTCCAAGGCCCCGTTGTGTCTCCATAGTAAAAAGACGAATTCAGAAATGACTCAACATAATCATCCGGTTGTGTGGACCACTGATAAGAATCATAATACGGCGGTGGTTGATCAAATGACCCACCTTGATGCGTTGAGAATTGAGGGGGTGGTTGATCAAATGAGACACCATGTGTTGAGAATTGAGGGGGCGCTTGTGAATCCTCAGTCCCATCTTCACGTTCATGTGAATCATCCTCTTCGTCACTTCCACCTGCATCTTCATCTTCATAGTGGAATATGCCCCGGTGGAGCATATCTTCATCACCTACATCCAGGGCCATCTGCCGTAGTCGTTTTTGACAATCCTCATAACTCGCGCGGTCGGCTAAGAGCTGATACACCTCGTGAACGCCTTGCTTCTACATAAAAATATAACACGTGTAAATAATATGACACGATATATGGTAGCGAATATGGTATGTATTCAAAAACTTACCACAATACCCCAATCGTGTGCTGTCGGGGTGTAGCCTGTCGTGGCACATTGTGAGAAGGGTTCTGGACACGTGTCATACCATGCTTCTTGTACCAGTTTCGGTACCTTTTAGTTGCTTCGAGAGACATATATCGATCATAATCAAGAACGTATATATTATGTTGTATGTCCGCCCACATCGCCAAGGCACCGATTACTATGTTGGAACGAGATCCGTGATGATCAGTACCCGGCAAAGGAGCATTCGGAATGTCTTGCCTTATACTGAACTGCCGAAGAAATCGATCCGGGTAATGCATTTCGGCCATATTGCAAAATATGAGCATGACTCTAGCCGACCAAAGCGGTGCATCATTAAGGATGAGAGGCGGGAGCATCTCGGACGCGTAGGGAGTGAAATCAAACTGTAAAAAGTTTAATTTGCAATTTAAAAACTAGAAAAAATAGTGTATTTAAGGCTGAATAGTACGGTTGAAGTAAAAATTTCATGTACTACCTGACTCTCAGTCATGCGATCTAGGTCATCCCGGTACAAGCGTATGCAATGTCTTGGGGATCCCTTAAATGACTTGGGGACGATCCACCTACATTTATTGATTACCGATATGAAGTTAAAAAATGTAACGTCATGTAAAGCATTCTCAATTATTAAGATGTAATTGACAACATACTTGCACCCATATGGAAGATGGCCATGTTGAATGACGTGAAGTGCTGAGGGACGGACCATCGAAATCCTCGATCAAGCCCAAATCTGTAACAAGTGCATACAACCGCCAACTTGTTTGGTTTCCCACATCGCGCCGTTGCACAAGTTATGGTAGAGGTACCCGAGAACCGCTGATCCCCAACTCCAGCGACGGGCTAAAGCCAAGTCACCCTGCAAGACCTCCAAAAAGTACAATCGTATTCTTACAAAATTAACTACTTCTACACTCCTAAAATTGAATTTTAAGGGTATTTCTAAATGTAGCACATTTTCTAAGTTTGAAGTACTTTATAGCTAAATCTTACTCTAAAAGTCCAATTTCACAATCCATATTAAAAATTCACAAATTACAAAAATAACTACTTCTACACTCCTTAAATTGAATTTTAAGGGTATTTCTAAATGTAGCACATTTTCTAAGTTTGAAGTACTTTATAGCTAAATCTTACTCTAAAAGTCCAATTTCACAATCCATATTAAAAATTCACAAATTACAAAATTAACTACTTCTACACTCCTTAAATTGAATTTTAAGGGTATTTCTAAATGTAGCACATTTTCTAAGTTTGAAGTACTTTATAGCTAAATCTTACTCTAAAAGTCCAATTTCACAATCCATATTAAAAATTCACAAATTACATAATTAACTATGGATACACCTCTTAAATTGAATTTTAAGGCTATTTATAAATGTAGCTCATTTTATTAGTTTCAAGTACTTTATCACTAAATCTAAGTCTAAAAGTTCAATTTCACAATCTAAATTAAAAATTCACAAATTACAAAATTAATTACTTCTATACTCATATAATTGAAAATTAACTAACCTCAAAAGAGACTGATGTCAAAGGTTGGAGAGGAATAGCTTCTTCAAATAGCTTGATAGATTGAACAATGATATATTAATGATTATGTATTGAGATGTAAAAATAGAAGCTTGAAACAAATGTATTTATAAGGGCCGACTATATAAAAAAAAACAAAAAAACCTCTTCCTGTCGGAATTGGTAGTTCCGACTTCCAGAAAAAAAAAAAGGGAAATACTCTAGTCGGATTTGGGTGTTCCGACTGGAGGAGGAGATGTGGACGGTCCGATTGTGATCCGCGCAAGTGTGAAGAACGGTTAGGATTAGGATTCAAATAAAATGTGTTTGTTTAGTAGATGGTGTAAGTGGAACGAACGGATAGGATTAGGATTACAAAAAATGTGTTTCTTTATTGGGATGAGTTCGGTACAAATAAAGTGTATTGAATATTTTAGGTTGGCGACAACTTAAATTTTATCTCAAATTTTTTTTTCAGATTATATTTATCAGATCAAATGTGATGTTATTTTTGACAACTTAAATTTGATCTGATAAAATTTAATAAGATTATATTTTATCTGATTAATAAGATTATATTTATCTGATTACATTTTATCTTATTGAAATTATCTTATTAAATTTTATCTCATTAATTTTATCTGTTTAAATTTATCTGATTAAATTTATCTGATGGAATTTATGTTAACAAAAATTTCATATACAATGAGTAAGCCCCAAAAAAGAGAACAAATATTTCATTACTAACAATGTAGGGAAGTAATCGGTGCCTTGGCGATGTGGGCGGACATACAACATAATATATACCAATGTAGGTGGATCGTCCCCAAGTCATTTAAGGGATCCCCAAGACATTGCATACGCTTGTACCGGGATGACCTAGATCGCATGACTGAGAGTCAGGTAGTACATGAAATTTTTACTTCAACCGTACTATTCAGCCTTAAATACACTATTTTTTCTAGTTTTTAAATTGCAAATTAAACTTTTTACAGTTTGATTTCACTCCCTACGCGTCCGAGATGCTCCCGCCTCTCATCCTTAATGATGCACCGCTTTGGTCGGCTAGAGTCATGCTCATATTTTGCAATATGGCCGAAATGCATTACCCGGATCGATTTCTTCGGCAGTTCAGTATAAGGCAAGACATTCCGAATGCTCCTTTGCCGGGTACTGATCATCACGGATCTCGTTCCAACATAGTAATCGGTGCCTTGGCGATGTGGGCGGACATACAACATAATATATACGTTCTTGATTATGATCGATATATGTCTCTCGAAGCAACTAAAAGGTACCGAAACTGGTACAAGAAGCATGGTATGACACGTGTCCAGAACCCTTCTCACAATGTGCCACGACAGGCTACACCCCGACAGCACACGATTGGGGTATTGTGGTAAGTTTTTGAATACATACCATATTCGCTACCATATATCGTGTCATATTATTTACACGTGTTATATTTTTATGTAGAAGCAAGGCGTTCACGAGGTGTATCAGCTCTTAGCCGACCGCGCGAGTTATGAGGGTTGTCAAAAACGACTACGGCAGATGGCCCTGGATGTAGGTGATGAAGATATGCTCCACCGGGGCATATTCCACTATGAAGATGAAGATGCAGGTGGAAGTGACGAAGAGGATGATTCACATGAACGTGAAGATGGGACTGAGGATTCACAAGCGCCCCCTCAATTCTCAACACATGGTGTCTCATTTGATCAACCACCCCCTCAATTCTCAACGCATCAAGGTGGGTCATTTGATCAACCACCGCCGTATTATGATTCTTATCAGTGGTCCACACAACCGGATGATTATGTTGAGTCATTTCTGAATTCGTCTTTTTACTATGGAGACACAACGGGGCCTTGGAACACTAGCGGTGGGGATGGAGCAGGGCCGAGCAGGCAACATTAGATGTAGTATTAAATTTAATTTTGTATGTACCGTCTATTTATTAAGAAATTATATTGAAAACTACGTTTGTTTTGTTCACTTGCATTAAAATTACCAAAAAAATTTACTTAAAACAAAATGAAATTTTTATCTAATTAGACGAATGGAGTAAATCAAAATTGCACTTAAAATTACCAAAATTGCAATTAAAACAAATTTCACAATACAAATGGATTAAAAAACAATTTAAAGCAATCAATTGTTTTCTTACTAAAATAATCATAATGCTAAGTTTTCATTTTAATAAATATGTCATGAATCTAAAAAAAAAAATTAAATTTGGAATTGATATAATTTGGCCCTAACACTAAAATTTTTTTCGAACTCAAAATCAAAAACAAAATTCGAATTTTTTTTTTCCCTAGTCGGAATTAGGTAATCCGACCAGGCGGGGAGGGATTTTTTTTTTTTGCTTTTTCGAAACCATTAACTAAAATTCAAAACCATATTTCGAATAAAAAAAAAAATTAAACCTAGTCGGAACTCACTAATCCGACTAGGGGAGAACACCATTTTTAAAAACCCTAAAACCTAGTCGGAACACCGAGTTCCGACTCCCCCTTTTTGGTAAACCCTAAAAAAATCCCCGTTTTTTGGCAACCCCAACCCCCTTTTCCCCCTTTTTGGTAAATCACCCTCCTAATTCATTTGGTATTGTGATTCGATTAGGTCCAAAACTGATTACATTTAACCACTTAACTATGAATATTTATTTTAATTATAAGACGTTTAGTAGGTACAATGCTTCCATTTATTTTTAACCATGATCGAGTTACTTTGGTGTAATTTCAATAACTAAAACATTTACTTAAAAATGTTAATTACTAATTTTCGTTTAATAGTTTTAATTACCTATATGCATGTTTACTTTTACTTTCAAGTTTTACTAAATGTAAATTTTGAGGTCGTTACAGTGGTGGTTAAAGAAGAGAGCGTCATGCAGAGTTCCTTACTGTTAAGATCCCATACCGGTCAACTATGGGCTTGACTGGTGGATTATAAGCAATGTGTTCCCTCCTCCTAATCGACTGGTTTTTTAGGAGTGAGTTCTACACATTGGCTTATGGCGCTGCTACGAGCCTATTATGGGCTAGGTCCATAACACTTCCCTGGTCGTAAGTGAATTCTTTCTCAACTGAAGAAGAAAAAGAGAGGCATCAATGGTGCATCCGTGTAGAGAGGGGCGGAGGGAGGGGTGGCCTGCCTGGACCATGGCCCAGGGCATTTTTTTTCTTCATTTTGTATTATATATGAATTCTTAGAAAAAAATTAGAAATGGCCCAGAGCAGAGAAAATACCGGCCCAATGTATGGCCCAATGCAAATTATTCTTCCGGTGCAGCGCTGAAGGAAAGAAGCGCAGAATCAAACCCATCGCCGTGCAGCATACCACTTTGTCCACTGGCATCGACGGCATCGCCTATTCGCCGGACGGCGGACGCCGCCTCTCCTCCGCTCCGCCGCTCTCCCTACGCAGCTTCGTTCCTTTGACCACTGACCTGCTTCTCCAGACGATCAGTGTAATAAAGCTGATTTGGGAAAGAATAATCTCAATCTTCTATTACTTCTATTCGCTGGTGCATACATATATACTAATAAAGCTACTGCCGTTATAGGCCAACTAAGGAAAGAGATATTACATATGATTTACTCTATCAATATTAAGACTAGAATATTTCCTATCCAAAAATAGAATTAATCCCATAATACCCCCCCTCAAGTTGGAGCATGAGGGTTTAAAATGCCCAACTTGCGCAAAAGATAATGAAACTGTGTCTTTCCAAGAGCTTTAGTAAAAATATCTGCGAGCTGGACAGTCGTAGGAACATAACTAGGAGAGATAAGTCCATCCTTGATAGCATCACGAATAAAATGACAATCCACTTCAATATGTTTGGTGCGTTCATGAAAAACCGGGTTTCTAGCAATATGCAACGCAGACTGACTATCACAAAAGAGAGGAATGGCTGTGTTGTGATGAATGCCGAGACTAAGTAGCAAAGCCTTGAGCCATTTGAGTTCACATGTCGCAGCAGCCATAGCACGATACTCAGCTTCTGCCGAAGATCGAGAGACAGTAGATTGTTTTTTTCGTTTTCCAGGAGACAGGCGAGTGACCAAGAAAGACTAGCCAACCAGATAAAGAGCGTCGGGTAAGTGGACATGCAGCCCAATCAGAGTCACACCAAGCAGTGAGGGATAGATCACTGTCAGCACGCATAAGAATACCTTGTCCCGGAGAGCCTTTTAAATAGCGAACCACCCGCAATGCGGCATCCCAATGAGATTGACATGGAGCTTGCAAAAATTGAGACAAAACATGAACAGAATAAGCTAGATCAGGTCGGGTCACAGAGAGATATATAAGTCGACCAAGCAGACGTCGATAAGGCTCCGGATCCACAAGAGGAGGTCCAGATGCTGAGGCCAATGAATGATTCTGTTCAATGGGAAAAGTTGCAGGTTTTGCTCCAAGAAGCCCTGTTTCAGATAAGATATCCATAGTATACTTCCGTTGTGTGAGAAAAAGGCCCGCAGAGCTACGAGCCACCTCAATACCAAGAAAGTACCGAAGAGTACCCAAATCCTTCATGTGAAAGCAGTCACTAAGATAGGCTTTAAAATGAAGAATTGCATCATGGTCATTGCCGGATATAATTAAGTCGTCCACATAGACTAGGACATTCAATTGTACAGTCCCTCGAGTGCGTGTAAACAAAGAGTAATCAGCATAGGACTGGGAAAACCCATAGCCACGAAGAGCATGAACCAATTTAGCAAACCAACAACGTGGTGCTTGCTTCAAGCCATATAGAGACTTATGCAAACGGCAAACCAAAGATGGGTCAGATGTGGTATAACCTGGGGGCACTTGCATGTATACCTCTTCTTCTAGGTCACCGTGTAAGAATGCATTGTGAACATCCATTTGATGAAGCTCCCAATTTTTAGATGCCGCAACTGCTAGAAAAGCTCGAATGGTGACCATTTTGGCCACTGGAGCAAAAGTTTCATTGTAATCTAGTCCTTCAACCTGTCGATTGCCAAAAATAACTAGACGAGCTTTGAGGCGCTCAACACTACCATCAGAGTGGTACTTGATTTTATACACCCAGCGACAGCCTAAAGCCCGTTTTCCAGGAGGAAGAGGCTGCAAAGTCCAAGTGTGATTTTGTTCAAGGGCACGAATCTCAGCCCGCATGGCATCACGCCAACCGGCATCTTTAACCGCATCATGAAAGGAAGCAGGTTCTGAATGAGTGGATACAGCTGCCAAAAATGCACGATACCGAGGAGAGAAATTATCACAATTAACATACTGAGCTATAGGGAACGGAGTACCTGAAGAGACAGTCGGTGCAGGTGAGGCGGAGAATGGACTTTCATGAATAATGGTGTGTGTCACATAATCTTTCAGTTTTACTGAGGGGAGTTTGAGTCGTTTACCCCGTCCCAAGTCAGCAGGTGGGGAAGCAGCAGACGAGACAGGAGCAGTCGGTGATGCAACAGATGAGATGTCTTCTGTTGAGGGAGGTGAGTCAACCAATGCAGATGAAGGAGAGAGTGAGACCGCCATAGGGTATTCCCAGACTGGCGGAGGATCGCCTTGAGTGGAAGAACCATGGTCCATTTCTGGTGTGGGGACACTAAACGGAAATTGATCCTCAAAAAATTTGACATCTCGTGAAACAAAATATTCATGAGTTTCTAGATCATATACGCGCCATCCCTTTTTCCCAAAGGGATATCCCACGAAAATGCATTTGCGACTACGACTGAGGAACTTGTCCCGGGCGGAACGCAGATTATGTGCATAACACAAACACCCGAAAACACGGAGTGCCTTATAATCAGGAACTTTGTCAAACAACATTTCATATGGAGTTTTGTGTTTGAGAACTGCAGATGGGGTGCAATTTATAAGGTGGGCTGCCGTGAGAACGCATTCTCCCCAAAATTGAATGGGAAGGTGGGCCTGAAAGCGTAGAGCGCGAGCAACGTTAAGAATGTGCCTGTGTTTGCGTTCGACCCGACCATTTTGTTGCGGAGTTGCCACACAGGATGTATGAAAAATAATGCCAGATACACGAAAAAACTCGCGAAGACAGTTAAACTCTGTACCATTGTCACTCCGCACTACTTTTATTTTCTGAGAAAATTGGCGTTCCACCATAGCACAAAAGGACATAAACATAGTGAATACCTCAGTTTTATCAGCTAGGAGATACACCCAAACTGCTCTAGAAAAGTCATCCACTATGGTCAAAAAATGTTTAGCACCACAGGAAGCAGGAGTATTATATGGCCCCCACAGATCACAATGTATAAGTTCAAACTTATGAGTAGAATTACTTACACTAAGGGGAAAAGAATCTCTAGCCTGTTTAGCTCGAAAACAAATGTCGCAAGGTTGGGAAAGCGCATGTTTAGTCCCACTCACACCAGGCAACCATGTCATTATTGTGGCTGACGGATGTCCCAACCGCCGATGCCAAATTTCCAAATTTTCTGTCTCCTTATGCACTCCAAAGATCTGAGTTTCCGGAAGGCATCTAAAATAGTAAAGTCCATTCCGCCTCTCACCCGCCCCAATCAGTCTCTTCGAGTGACGGTCCTGTATAGCACAAAAGTCATATGTGAATTGAACAAAACAATTATTTTCTTCAGTAATTTGAGAGACTGAGAGGAGGCTGCAGTGTAATTTTGGGACAAATAATACATTAGTCAAACACAAAGTATCTGATAAATGAACTACTCCTTGTTTGGTAGCCTGCACTTTCTGTCCATCCGGAAGCCCAACAGAACATGGGCTAATTTCAGTGATATCACTTAAACAAGAAACATTTCCAGTGACATGATTAGATGCTCCCGTATCAATTATCCAAGTGAAAATATCAAACTCATCCGATACCCGGTCAGGATTGATATTTGTTTTACCCAGGGCTGTTAATATTTTCAACTGTTCATTAGAAAGACGTGGCAGCATCTGTTCATTTCCGCATTCCAGAATACGGGAGGTATTCCTTTCGCTAGTTCCGTCAACAAGTCGCCAAGAAGACATATTTCCTTCGGCCGCAGCAGCGTGAGCTTTAAACCCACCTCTGCCACGCTCGTCTGAAGCAGCTCCGCCACGGACGACGGTTCCTCTGCCGTGACCGCCACCCTTGCTGTCGTTCTGAAGTCGATCCCAGCACTTGCCGTCGTGGCCAGTGATATCGCAGTGAGAGCATATCGTTCCAGTTTTTTCTGACCTGTTGGAACTCTCTGTCCAGAGACTGAAGAGGGTCTGCGTGAGGAGTTGTGACCGGATTTGGTCTGTTTTGGCCGGCGAGTTCACGGCTTCTTCTCCTGCCATGAGAACAGTTTCCGGCACCGCCTAAGACGGCGGCTCTGATACCATGTAATAAAGCTGATTTGGGAAAGAATAATCTCAATCTTCTATTACTTCTATTCGCTGGTGCATACATATATACTAATAAAGCTACTGCCGTTATAGGCCAACTAAGGAAAGAGATATTACATATGATTTACTCTATCAATATTAAGACTAGAATATTTCCTATCCAAAAATAGAATTAATCCCATAATAATCAGCCTCCAGTAGTCCAGTTCCCTCGAGGTAAGGAAGAACTAATTAAACTATTTCACTTTTTGTTTACAATTTTTAGTTTATTAATTCAAATTTTTGACAAATACTTAGATGAAATTTGAAGGAAGATGGAATAAACCTGCCCTCGTTAAGATGAAATTTGAAGGAAGATGCGAAATAAACCCATCATAGTTAATTTAATTACTTCGTTTTACAAATTTTTAGTTTAATTTAAGTATTTTATTTGTTATTTTAGTTTGTGATAGTGTCTTAGTGAATTTTAGGGTGCTTTGAATTGTAAAATGGAAAATTAGGATTTAGGAATGTCAAATGGATTGTGAATTTCTTAAAATATTACGGAGTAATATGAATTTATTCAAAAAATAAAAATTAATATGAATTATATTGAATAATGAATTCAAATAAAATATTGATTAGTTTTTTATTTTTTGCTAAGTTTAGTAGGTACGACTACTCAATCTACTTCCAAAAAGGCAAAAATCGCATTGCGTTTGTTTTATAAGCCTAGTACAAGGACTCAAAGTAGAAAAGAGTTAAATGTCTCAATTGAAACTCCTAATATCTCATCTGTTCAAAGAGAATAGTTTCTAATGCACTTGAAATTGAGCGGGATCCGGGAAAACGCAAAACGATAAGTGATTAGCCTTTAGAGAAAATAGATGAAATTAGACGATCTTATTTGATGCTTGGACCTTATAAACCGAAATTCAACTTTTACAGAGGCCGAGTTTACAAAGATAGGATACATCGTTTTCAAGTTAATTGTTTAAAAATATTACTATGAATTTTAATGGATTTTAATCATTATGTTCACACTATTGTCGCTTTTAAAAATTTTATATAATGTTTTTAATTAGTGTATAGTCGGCCCAGGGTAAACATCGATCCTGGCTACACCCCTGGTGTAGAGAGTTTGGGTGAGAGGTCGGCAGAGGAATTCGTGTGAGAGGAAGCCCGATGATGTCCTCTAGAGACCCCTCGCTCGTCGAGGAGTGAGAGAAGTAGGCCTGGACTCGGGCCGGGCGGCCCGACCCGGAACCGGCCTGGCCCGGCCACTGTAGCAACCGGCCCGGCCCGGTGGCCCGGTCCACCGGCGGTTCGGGTCGAACCGGCCCGGTGGTTCCCGGTTCCGGGCCTTGGCCTTCCATATGGTGAACCGGCCCGGCCGGTTCGGGCCCGGTTCGGGCCGGATTTTAATTTTTTTTTTTTGAAATTTTTTTTAAATCTTGGGTTGGAATAGGTATTTTGGGCCATTTGAGGTGGTTTGGGGTTGAGGGGGAGGGGTATGGGATTAAATAGGAGAACAAAAAAAAATTGGGCCGGTTAGGCCCGGCCCGGCCCGGCCCGGCCCGGTTTGGCCCGGAACCGCAACCGGAACTGGCCACCGGCAGTTCGGGCCCGGGCCTCCCCTTTCTTGGCCCGAGGCCCGGCCGGGCCCAGGCCTGAACCGGCCCCGAGTCCAGGCCTAGAGAGAAGCTGCCATCCGATCTTAGAAGGGTTGAAAATCATGGATTTTTTTTAGAATAGGTTGAAAATCATGGATTAATAACTAATAAGTTAAAGGCATATTAATCCATACAAGTTATTTACTTCCTCCGTTCTTTTTTAGTTGCAACATTCCTTTTTTCATGCTTGCCGATGCACAACTTTGACCGTCGTTATATTTAATTCTCTATTTCTAAAAAACTTTTAAAAATTAGATTATGAAACTTTGTAATGAGATGAATTTAACAATATTTTTCAAAAAATAATAATTCACATACATTAATAAATTAAATGTAGTCAAAGTAAAGTACATGAATAGTGTGTAATTTCCAATGTTGCAACTATTATGATACGGAGGATAGTATTAAATATACTCTTCAAACATAATCACTTTGGGAAAACACTAATAAGATCATAGACCGAAAAAGAGAGAAATTTTAGTCATTAATAACCAGAGAAAATGATCACAGGTTTCCCAATTAACTCTTGTACACATCTAAATAGTGTATTAGTAGATTAAAGGATTCTTTAGTAGATTTCACAAAATGATCAATTGATCATTTGGGAAATCTATGATCATTTTCTCTAGTTAATAATGATTCTTCTAACATTAATTATAATCACTACACATTATATTAATTTTACTCATATACAAATCTCCATCAATGCAATGCAATGCGATATATATACACACACATATATATATATATTAGTATTATCTATCATTACTTAGTATGTGTAAAGAATACATGATTAAAATATAAGATGTGTAGATAGAAATAATTTCTTTATTAGGTCACACAAGAGAGTAATGATTTATACCGTCCGCATGTGTGTATTTTCCAAAATTATTATTTTCTCCTTTAATCTACTGATACACTATTTAGATGTGCACAAGAGTTATGTTCATGAAAAAGCTACTCTTTCAAGTATATACTTCGTATAATATATGGTGATTATTCAATCCATTGAAATATGAGGTTTTTTAATACTATTAAAATAAAAATTTACTAACAATTATGTGACTAAAGTTAGAATATGCATTTATAGTCGATATAAAACTTGAACAATCTTTTAGACACTAAAAGTAACTAAATCACAATTAGTTAAAAAAAGTACTTCACAAGTTTCAATCTAATCGCAATTGTCATAGAAACTGTGATTATTATTTTAATAAGTTACTTTTTCACCATCATCTTTAATGTTTGTCTCAACATCATAATCTACAACAACATCATCAGTAGCCCTTGAAGCACCACCATCAGTTTTAGTCTCATTTGGGGTTGCTGCAGGAGTTTCAGTCATATGTATAACCTCATAGTCATTATAAACTCTCGGGATAAGGGTCAGATAGGGCCTCAAACTTGAAAAAAAATGTCAAATAAGACCATATTTAGGATGCTCTGTCCGGCCGACGCCATTTGGGGTGGTTCCCGGTGGAATTTTTTGATGAATTTTTTTGAGAATCTTATTCATTAAGTCTAGTTTACTCATATCAAATTTGAACTAAAACTTTAATCGGGAAGGCATTCAAATGAATTCTTGAAGATAACTGTACCGTTAACAGCGCAGTTATCTTCATGAATTCATTTGAATGCCTTCCCGATTGAGTTGTTAGTTCAAATTTGATATGAGTAAACTAGACTTAATGATTAAGATTCTCAAAAAATTTCATCAAAAAATTCTACCGGGAACCACCCCAAATGGCGTCGGCCGGACAGAGCATCCTAAATATGGCCTTATTTGACATTTTTTTTCAAGTTCGAGACTCTATCTGACCCTTATCTCTCTAAACTCTCAATAATATATTTCTTCAATAGTATTGCAACTGCCACATTTTTTGCCAATTCATCAAGCCAAAGCCAACGAATGCCATCAAGATCTACCTCAAAACTCCTACGTTGTCCACTCTACGTCAGTGTATTTTTATTCCCTTGTATTCTTTTGGTGAACATATCTTTTTAGCTCAAGCATGATAGTATAGTATATAGATTTAAATTTGGGGGTGTCCACAACTAGGAGTTGAATGAATTTTAAAAGATCAATGGATTTTGAAATTGGAGGGATTTTATAAGATTTGTGGTGGAATGTTTTTGTATATAGAAATCCATCAAAATCCATTAAAATTCATCCAAATAAGTAGCAATAGAAATCCATGAAATGTTTGAGGACACCCTTATTTTCATGAATTCCAAACAAATTCAAATCGGGATCACCTAAACTCCATTAAAATCCTCCAGAATCCAAATCGGGGACACCCCCTTTTCTCGAGTATAGCATCAGAAATTTGTAGTGACTTGCTAAACTTCTCTACAATCTTTAAGTAGTAAGACAGTGGCCCAGGTACTACCCAGCCCATTCGCACAGGGCCCAAAATTTTAGAAGCCCCCAATAAAAACCAATACTAGTATTATACCGCCCAGGGTCCGAAGCTTTGAACTGCTAAGAGGCCGTTTGACAACACTGTTTTTCGGCTTATCAGGCTTATCAACCAACTTTTTTATCAAACAAGTAACTTTTGCTTTCGCGCGCTGAATTGTGTAATAAGCAGAAAAAGTAAGGTTGAAGTTACTTTTGTGGCTGTATTGACTGAAGTTACTGTGGATGACCATTTTAGCTTTTTTTACATATAATTATTCTTTATTTTATTAATAAAATATATTTCATGCATCTATTTGGGCCAGCACTTCTTAAATTTTTCTTAAATTTTTTCTTAAAACTGAACGAAGCGCTAAGGAAGGGAACCACAAGACTGAAGGTTGAGGCTTAGGCTTTGTTTGCAATCACTTGTCTTTAAATAAAAGCACTTTTTGAGAAAAAGTGATTAGTAATAAAAGTTGGTAGTGTTTGGTAAAATAAGTGCTTTTTGTGTAATAGAAAAACTAAAAAGTAATGTCTGGTAAAATAAGTGTTTTTTTCTATTAAAAAAACGAAAGCCCTTAACTGCGAAATATCGAACTATCGAAGGAAATACAGAACGAGTCCTGAATAAAGACCGCCGACGACCGCCGCTAGTCAGCGCCAGGCCTCCAGCCTGCCACCACCGCACGTCCGCACCACGCAGCGACGCCCTGCCTGACCGCCTCCAGCCTCCAGGACCACGACCGCACCAGTCCGGCAGTCCACTATCCACGCTAGGCCGCTACCCGCACTTCTGCAGTAACGGGTAAGCAACTAAGCAGATTTTTCTGATTTCTTTGACTTTGATTCTTTGAATTCAAGCTTACACCCCCAAATGAAATGCTAGGTCTCCCCCTGCATATGGCCCCTATCTTTCTCACTATCTAACTCTCACTCTCGTGGTTGCTTATGGATTCCCTAGTCCAGTTCTAGATTCTGGCATTTTGGTTTCTGCGGACTCTGGATTTTTTTTTGTTTTTGTTTTCGACTTTTGTTTTACATTGCAAAGATATCTAGGTATTTAATCTGATACGCCCCATCTTCTGTGCTTGCTACTTCAACCTCCAATTATATAAAATATTCTCAAAAAAAGTAGTGTTCAATCATCCAGATACCAAACTCAATAATAAAATTAAAATTTTCTGTAAGTAATGAACTTTTAGATCTAAGGAGGAAATTCCATATCTGACGCACCACTCAAGAATCTGATTTCCATGTTTCAGATGAGTATTTTCTTTGTCATAGTTTTTAATGTTATCAGTTATGTGTGTGTATAAAATATATATAATACACACACATATGCAGTCTGTATTTTCAGTTTTTATTTATTAGGAGCAGGTATCACATTTTTTTTTGCTTTTAATGTTAATATGATCTATTACATTACTTTTGTTTCTCACTTTCTCAGGCCATTTTTTTTATATAGTCAGTAGTGGTGTTAAAAAGTGAACGTTTTTAGTTAAACTTATAGAGTTAGAGCAAAACAATATACTCAAGTAGTAGTATTACTTATGTTTTTGATAAATATTCTTCTAAGCTGTAGAGTGGAGGTACACTACACCTTTTCACAGCTTTTGAGTTAGAATTATTTACTCCGTGCTCTGATTTACTTTTTCTAACACTGGCCCCCGCTTCCTGGATTTAAAGTTATCACTTCCAAATAACTATGCAATCTGACCCGATCAAAAGTGTTCATGTGCACCCCCCCCCCCCCCCCCCCCCCAGTGCTATAATTATCTCGTGCAACCGCCTATTGTACACATCTTTACCATAATTGATGAGAGCCTATTATATTGTCATAATCTTGAAGTCTTAAACATATATTCGCATAATCTTGCCCCAGAATAAAAATGTTGTATACGCCACGGTTGCCAAGTTTGCAGAGTATAATGGTGGAATTTGCAAGAAAAGCACACATTCTATAGTATGTTTACTGATGTGGATCTTATTTATTATTGAAACTAAGCCTGTAACCTTTATATTTGTTTGGATGTTTTTTTATATAAAAAGTAAATTTAAACAAGCCCATCTGTAAATCGTTTAATCTTCTTAAGACTCCAATCTTAGATTTTTCAAGGTTGTGACCCAGTTTTTCAGAATATCATTACCTTGCATTTTTCGAAAACGAAAGGCATTTTTGAGTGTTTGCATCTGTTTTCTCATTTTGCGCTTTCCATTAACCTGCTTCTTGGCTCAGCTATATTCTATGTAATTTTATTTGAATACTAACCTTTATATTTTGTTTTGATGTTTCAGTGAAGGAGGCACAATGAAAGTAAAGATTTTGCGTATCCATTAATTCTATATGGTTTATTTCCAATATGTGTCATCAGCATGTACGAGGAAGGATGTTATAACTAATTAATTACAAGTTAATATGTACAAAGTATGTGATTTACAAACCAAAATTTAAATATTTATCACCATTACCCAGCATAATTTATGAAAACCCGTATTATATAGTTTTGCTGATATTTTGATAAGTCTAGATTTCGTGACAAGATTTATTTATTTTTTAATTGAGATTTGCTTGGCGTGTAATTAGATAATGTGTAGTTGATCATCTGTCTAATCTATTTGTGGAAAGTTTCTTGAATTCCTCTTTCAAAATATGGATTAATTCTTTTGCCATCTATTCTTGAAAGAGTATATTCTTACTTCCAGGAAAGGCCTAATTTTGCGAGTGGTATATACCTAGAGTTGAAATAGTGTCCCTAGTCCCTACTGTGCCATCTTTTGCTTTGTACTATCTCTGTCCTCTTTTTATCTTCATTTTCCCTCTTTAGTCTCATCCTCAACTTATCTTCACTTTCTTTTTTAGGAAAATATAACAGAGGAGATAAAAATAACAGAGGAGGTAATTTATAAACTATGATTATTACATTAAATTTGTTGTTGTTTAATAGTTTAGAGTTGTTCTCCTTTACGCCATGCACATATTGCCACAGACTGCTTCAGATTCATAAGTGCATATCATTTTGAGACTGAAACTTAATTAATTGTTCATATGGAACTAGTTTTCCCTTGACCAACAGCTTCGCCATGTGCTATTGGCCACTATGAAAAGAGTATGCCCTTTCACTACCTTGATATTTCTTTGTTCATGTTTGAAAGACCTGTCTTGATGGTTCTGATTATATCGTGCTTACTCATAGGCAACTAGTTTTTATTTTATGGGGGGATTTATGCCATATGATCTACAGATGGCATGCTGTTGCTTCTTGGACATGGGATGCACAGGATGAAACTTGTGGGATATGCAGAATGGCCTTTGATGGTTGCTGCCCTGACTGCAAAATCCCCGGGGATGATTGCCCTTTAAGTAAGCCATGGAACTTCCTGCTCCCATTGAACCTCTCTGTGCCTGTCTTCAATTTTTACTCATTGTTCACGCTGTCATATATGAGCATAATATGCATGGAACAGATGTTATTGAGTGGAGGCAGTACTATTTCTCTCATGCCTTCTTGTTTTTCCTGAGAGAGGTGGAAAGGTTGACTGTAGGGCTTTATGATGGTGTGATGGCTGTGTCTAAGGGCTTGTTTGGTTCAAGAACTTCTAGGGGATGGGATGGGTGATATTTATTATTAAAATATCTGTATGCTTAGCTGGTTGGAAATCAGGTGACAATAGCAAACTATAGAAAAATACATGGTCTAACTAACCATATAGTTACTTATAGTTTAATAAATCTCAAATCAATCCTCCCCTTCTCTTCTGATAGAGCTACGCAGGTAATCAGAAGCTAACTACAAGAATCTCCAAGATAGGAATTCAAGAAACACAAGTCCACAGTTTATTCAATAGTGCAGAAATGTACAGAGTCCCAAAGTAAGAGCTAAAACTCTAACTTCCAGCCAAGACAATGTGTCCGGAATAACAGCCTACTCTCAACTCCCCAGTTTATTCTATTTATATACAACTTCCCAACTAAAAGTAGTTACAAGCATATAACAACTAAAACTACTTCTTTCTTCTAGAATAAACGTGGCTGAAATATTTATCTTCTTTCTGAGAGTTTCCTGTGTTGAAATATTTATCAATACTCCCCTGCTGATGAACAAGCTTGTCCTCAAGCTTGAAGGCTGGAAACTGTGTCTTCATCACCTGCACACTTTCCTATGAATTCTCAAATTCTGGGAGGTCCTTCCATTGTATTAGAACTTCTGTAACATCATTCACCTTTCTTACATTCACCACCTTCTCAGGCACAACCTGCAACTCCCAGTTTTCATTTAGACAACTGGGTAGGGGTTGACAATCCAAGTTAGGAGCTAGGGCCTTCTTGAGAAGAGAAATATGGAATACTGGGTGTATCAAGCTGTAATCAGACAACCTCAGTTTGAAAGCAACATCACTGAACTTCTCTATAATCTCAAAAGGTCCATAAAACCTGGGACTGAGTTTCTGGTTCAATCTCCTTGCTAAACTCTGTAACTTGTAGGGCTGAATTTTCAGGAAAACTTGATCCCCCACCTCCAGTTTCATTTCCCTCCTATGTTTATTTGCCTGTTGCTTCATCTGATTTTGTGCAATAGCCAAGTTTTCCTTTAATTCAGCTAGCATGCCATTTCTTTCAGCTGTTAATCTGGCCACTTCCTCCACAGCTGTAAGGGTAACATCCCCTTTTATTATGGCTGGAGGTTCTTGTCCATACAGCTAACTACAAGAATCTCCAAGATAGGAATTCAAGAAACACAAGTCCACAGTTTATTCAATAGTGCAGAAATGTACAGAGTCCCAAAGTAAGAGCTAAAACTCTAACTTCCCAGCCAAGACAATGTGTCCGGAATAACAGCCTACTCTCAACTCCCCAGTTTATTCTATTTATATACAACTTCCCAACTAAAAGTAGTTACAAGCATATAACAACTAAAACTACTTCTTTCTTCTAGAATAAACGTGGCTGAAATATTTATCTTCTTTCTGAGAGTTTCCTGTGTCTCTATCATCTTCCCTCTGAACAGTGAAACCCGAACCAAACAAACCCTTAGAGTGTACAGTGGTCCAAATGGGGACATATTTCTAGTTCATTTACTACCTACAACTGTTAATAGGGCTTGAGAGTAGAAGATAATGTGTTCATGGAGGAAATGAACTTCATGCGTCCACAGTAACTTGTTAAAACAGTAAAGCGGTTTTTTTGCATGTCTACTCCCAGAGCAGATAAACCCAACTTATGATTTATTCTATTTTGGATTTAAATGCTAAGTTAAAAATACTACAATTAGCAGCCTCACTTGATAGACACACGAGCACACACACACATATAATGCAAAAGACCATTGATAGAACACTGGTTAATCCGACTTGGAACAATATAGAATAATAGAATCCGACTTGAAGGACTTCGGTGGAAACAATGAAGTTTGCGCATTCTGAAAAACGGTTTGCGACCCAACCTGCAAACTCCAAGAATCGGGCAGCGACTGTGAAGAAGATTGCGGAGAAACGGCTTGCGGAGAAGATTGCAACCGGTAGAAGCAGTTTGCGATGACGATGATATCTGCGAATGAATGAGGGAATCGACTTGTGATGATGAACTGTGAGGAACGGTTGGCGACAAGGATTGCGAACTGAAAGAAGTTCTTGGCGATCGCGAACTGTGAGAAACGGCTTTCTGAGCTGCTTTCTTTGCCCAAAACCGTGTTCTGATATGCTGGCTTTGTTTGAGTGTATGTAATCACTTCCTGATCAGGGTGTTGGGACCCCGTAGTATTTATATCCTCGTTTAACTGACTGCAGATACTACATGTTTCTGTAGAGCCATTTCCCTCCTCCTCCTCTCTTTCGTTGAGTAGGTTGATCCAATTACCAGTAATAGCCATATTAGGGTACTTTTCTGGTGTCGTTTGTACATATCTGCCAGCATTAAGAATCGGTGTGCTGTTTCCAAAGACTAGCAGATTCACCACTAATAGCATCCAGTATGGTGTGTGTAACCTCAGATTCAATCAAGGATTTCTCAGAAGGTATTTGTAACGATGCCTTCCAGTCATCCAGTTCCGGTTGAAACATTTGACTCACAGTTGTCTTGAAGGACTTCGGTGGAAAGAATGAAGTTTGCGCATTCTGAAAAACGATTTGCGACCCAACCTGCAAACTCCAAGAATCGGGCAGCGACTGTGAAGAAGATTGCGGAGAAACGGCTTGCGGAGAAGATTGCAACCAGTAGAAGCAGTTTGCGATGATGATGATATCTGCGAACGAATGAGGGAATCGACTTCTGATGATGAACTGTGAGAAATGGTTGGCGACAAGGATTGCGAACTGAAAGAAGTTCTTGGCGATCGCCGATCGCTAATCCTGGTTCTCTGTCTTCCGACTGCGTGTAGGTTGGAAACACCGAGTTATGGCTTCCTTCAGAGCCTCCCATTTCTTTTCTCTCGTTTGAGTTTCCCACCATGGAAACCAGGCTAACGCCCTTTCCTCCATCACACCTACTACTTCAACTTTATCTTTTTCCGCAGTATTCTTGAGACGGAAATACCCTTCCATCATAACAATCCAACTATCCGCATCATCCCCGTTAAACAATGGTAATTCAACCTTTATTCCCGTACGAACAGGTCTTCTACTGTTATCGCGATCCACACTAGAACAAGAATGATCAGAATTTCTCGCGCCTCCGAGATGCGAAGTGCGATGTGAAGTGCGCTGCGAGCTGCGCGGAGTGAGCGATTGATTCCTCGGTCGATTTTCATCTTCGCGAGTGTCTCCTGTATTGTAGCAAAATCCATCGCAACTTTTTCCATCGAGGTATGGTTCCGCTCTATGGTTTCCATCCCGTTCTCCATTTTTGGCTCTCGTCTAGACCTTCCACAACTGAAACAGAAATTTTCTGGTATTGCGACATTATTCCGAGCACCAGTACGATCACCAGTACGAAAATACATATTCCGGACCAGTTAACTTGCAAAAATCATTTGACGATCTTCCAGATTGATTTTTTTGCTGAAATTTGGTATGGATGAACTAGACTTGATGAGGAACATACACAAAAAATTTGAGCAAAAAATATCACCGGGAAGGCCCCCAAATGGAGGAGGCCGGACGGGGCTCCTGTCCGGAATTTCCGGACGGGGCTCCTGTCCGGAATTTCCGGACAGGAATAATCCTGTATATATGTATATGATTATATATTTATATATATGTGTGTATATATATTACGTAGTACGTGGTACTCCCTATGTCCCTCTTATATTGTCCTCTTTTACCTTTTCGGGAAGTCCCACTAAAATTGTCTCATAGCATATTTGGTAAAGTTTGTGTGGCTCTAAATCATTCTTACTTTATTCTTACTTTATCAATTGATATCAACCACACACAACTCACTTTTCTTAAAAATCGTGCCACCCTTTTCCGTCCCAATATAAAAGGGACGGAGGTAGTATTTCATAAGCCATAAGATTGTCAATGTTAACAAGGGTGTTATCATCTGGCAAAATGTACACTAACAAAAATATTATTTTAATTTTTATTTGCTAGATATTAAATCATTTTAATTTTAAAAATGGGTCATAACATACTATCTCCAAGATTTTATAAGAAATCACTAATAGAAACATTATATGTGGAATTGATTCCTCCATCATTTGCAATGGAGCCAAAAACTCATTATTTTTTGGCTTGAGAATATGATGGAATAAAGCAAAATGGCTCATTAAACTATATGCACTTTTTTGTTATGAAGCAACATTTGGTCTATGCAATCTTTGACGCGATTTTCACTATGGGTCATCTGGAAACAGCCTCTTTGTACTTAAGTACAGGGGTAAGGCTGCGTACATCCGACCCACCCTACTCCACCGTAGGTGGGAGCCTTTGCGGCACTGGGGTAATGAATCTAATGATGATGAATGATGATGATGATATGTGCAATTGATAGTTTTTAAAGTCATATGGATGTGGCATCGATCTACTTCACCGCTTTAAGCATCAAGGTGGCCACTCTTAATAAATCTGCCTTCACCACCTCAACTAGGAACCCTGTGGTTTAAATATGATTAAAGGACGCACATTATGTGCATGTTTGATAGTCTAAGTCCTTATCTTAGAGCTATTGTACATTTGTACAAAGTATTATTTTAAAAGTCTCTAAAAACTCATAGTTGTATATTTAGTAAAACAATTTTTGAGTGTTCTTTTTAATTTAAGATTCTTTTGAGAAGCTACATTTAGTAGCTTCTCAGAGAAAGTTTATAGCTTTTAGCATTTATTAAGCACAACGTTATTATACCAAAAAGAACTAAATCAAATGGCAAGCTTTTATCAAATATTTGCAACCTTTTTAAAGATTTTTCAATCACTAAAAACTAATCCCTCCGCCCCCAACTTTGTCCCATTTTACCTTTTTCATTTGTCGCATTAAGTTTGTCTGATACCATATTTGACAATATTTGAGTAGTTATAATTCATTTTCTTTATTCCCACTCTATCAATTCAATACCGACCACACAATTCCATTTTTTTCATAAAAACCGCACCCAGCCTCTAGTCCTAATCTTAGAGGAACGGAGGTAGTAACATTTACTAAAAAACTCACCAAAGCGTATTTTCAGTTATTTGTGCCAACCATATCATATGCCACATTATCTTTGCGTTATATAATGTGCTATTGAAATGATTTTTTGGCATCTTCCCTTACACCATGAAAGCAGAGTTAGCTGTTGGTGAAGGTTTGGCTCGTTAGGAATCCTTTTCATTTGGGCTTAAGACGGAGGTTGCTCTTTTTCCGTCGATGTTCCGCTGAAATCAGCCGTTAAGCCCATTAGTGAGCTATTTCTTTATCACATGTAGTTGATGTTTGCATGTGGATGAAGTGGAAATGCCGAAGCATAAAGTTAAAAACCAAAAAGATTTCACAAACGCTTGTAAGAAAGTGGGGAAAATAGATATGTCATTGGTTTTAAGTTTTAACTAGTTAACTGCAAAAAATGACTGCTATGCTCATATAAATGTTTTTATGCAGTTTGGGGAGCTTGCAACCATGCATTCCATCTTCATTGCATATTGAAATGGGTGAATTCACAGACTTCACAAGCTCATTGTCCTATGTGCCGCAGGGAATGGCAATACAAAGGATGATTGCAAACTTCACCAGTATTTTTCTGATCGGAAGAATCTTAGCAGCACGAATGTTCTTGTTTTCTGGTCTTCTGTCATCTACTCCTACATTTTTCTAAACTTTCTCTGTATTTCTGAGATTAATCTTCGCAGACTAGATACCTAAATCATCTTCTCTCTATCTACTGAATATTACCAAATTAAAAGGGGATTTCTTCTTATTCTTATTATCGTTTTTTTCATTCTTTGTATTTCAAAATGAGCAAATCAAACCTGCGCCTTTTTTTGGAAGTCCTTTAATTTTTATTATTTATTGTGCAATTTTTAGTGTAAATCGTTGCAAAAACTAAGAGCTTAATAATAATCGTCGTACATCCATGTTGTATAATTGTATACATTGAACAAGTAGCCAAGTAGGGAGTGCTTGCAAAAGATTAAAGAAGGGCTTTCATGTTTTTATTTTATTTAAAGAAAAACTGAAATTGATATTTTCAAGTGGCAATTGTGGTTAAGTTAAACATTTTAAGTTAAAACATAAAAGCTGAAAGTACATCAGCTTTTACTTTTTAAAATCTTTTTCTCAAATATTGTCAATTTTTATTATAAAATATTTTTTACAATTACAAAATCACTTTGAATTAGGGCTGGGCACGGGTCGGGTCGGGGCGGGTAATGTAAAATAAAATGGAACTGCCGGTTCCATTATACGGTCCGGTCCGGTTCGAGTATTGCATTTTTCAAAATAGGAACCGGACCTTACCCGGCCCGTTTGAAACGGGTCGGTCCGGATCGGGTTTTTCGGTTCCTATTTCCATGTCTTAAAAATAGTAAAAACTTACAAAGTTCAAAAAAACAATTATCAATGATCAATAATATAGTACATTGACAAGTTTCAAAATAACAACATACCGATGCACATCTAACACAGGTGACAATTTCAATACTTAGTAACTTTATATATCTAAGTTCACAAACAATATGGTCATCAATTACTAAATCCTATTTATATGAAATTGTCACTTGATGAATTTTCATACTTTCAGTGAACAACCGATTGGCAAAGTTGGAATTAAACAAGTCCTTGATGAATTTCTTTCCTACTGGACTGTAGGACGATGAATGCCCATGTGGCATGTGCAAATCATAATCACTAAACAGTAAACATAGAAAGTTTGTAATATCTAAGGACAAAGTCAACTATTTATTAAAGTAAACAAGACATTTTAATCACAACCTAATGGGCTAAGTAAACTAACTTGGCAGAGGTCAGTGTATTAAAAAATTACTTTACAGTATATATATAACAGGCCGGGCCAGGTACCCGGTATTTTTTTTATTTTGGAACCGGTCCGGGTCTTAAAAATAAATTACCCGGACCTACCCGGACCGTTTTCTTGCAACAAAAAGTGGAACCGGCCCGTTTTGGACCCGAACCGCCATTACCCGGACCGGACCGCGGTTCCAAGACCCGTTTGCCCACCCCTACTTTGAATGCAACAAATCACTTTAATACATTATGTGAAAATTATAAATAACACTATGTACTACTTCCAAGTAGGCATGGACTCGGGCCGGGTGGCCCGACCCGGGACCGGCTCAAACCGGTGGCCTAGCCAGGGACCGGTCCGGGTAGGCATGGCCCGGTGGTTTTACGGTGCGGGCTCGGGTCACCCAATAGACGAACCGGTCGGGTCGGGCCCGGTTCTGGGCCTTTTTTTTCATTTTTTTTATTTTTCTGGAATGGGCTGGGTGTTTTGGGACATTTGGAGTGGTATGGGGGGGGTGAGGGGGGGATTAATTAGAAAAGTAAAAAAAATAGGAATTGGCCCGAGGCCCGGCTTGGCCTGACCCGGACCCGCCGGGCGCCGACAACCCGGACCGGTTCACCCATTCTCAAATAAAAGCCGGGCCGGACCCAAGAACGAACCGGAACCGGCCCGGCCCAGGCCCACCCCTGCTTCCAAGGCCTATTGCCCAATTTGAAATTACGGTTGCAGACTGGAAGTTGGAACAAATTCTTATTAGAAAAGTACTTAAGTGAGAAAGTACTTTTGACGTAATGAGTCAACGAGATTGACTAGTGGCACAAGTTAGTGGATTGCCAGAAGATCTTTGACAATTTGCATGTTTGGTCATAACAAATACTACCTCCGTCCCACTAAGATTGGGACGAGAGAATGTGACACGATTATTAAGAAAAGTGAGTTTGTGTGGTTGATATTAAATCGATAAAGTAAAAATAAAGTAAGAATGATTTAGAACCACACAATCATTACCAAATTTGGTATGAGACAATCCTAGTGGGACTTCCCGAAAAGGTAAAATGGGACAATCTTAGCGGGACGGAGGGAGTAGAAGAAAACGCTAGATTTCTTAACAAAGGGAAAATGGAAACTAATAATCCAACTTTTTTAGCGGCCTTCTTACAATAGTCCCATTTTTCGCTATTTATGAATAATCCAACATTTGTACGTCATCTTCATTCACTGTTCTCTAACCAGTTGATGACCTAATATTCCAAGTTATTTTCTTATCTCTTTGCAAATCATTATACCATAAAAGCTCACCTTTCACAAAGATAATATTTTACAAAGATAAGAAAATAACTTAGAATAACAGGTCATTAACCGGTGAGGGACCAACGAATGAAGATGGGGTGCAAAAGTTGGATTGTTCTTGAATAACGAAAATGTAGGGCTATTGTAAGAAGAATGTTAAAAGGTTGTATTGTTAGTTTCCATTTTCCCTATTTTAAAACGCTAACCCAAAACTCTCGTATTTGCAGTGTTTTCATAACAGCGATTCCGTCCAAAAACACTAGGGACAGACAACTATTTGCCAAATAAGATTTTCGTTCATTTAAAATGCTAAAATGGGTCAAATCGTTTTTTTTTTTTGCCGAAACGGCATTTTGCATACACCCCCTAATAGTTGCTAAGTCATATTTTTACTCAGTAGTAGTAGAGTTTTTTCATGTATTTATGTTTCATACGGAGTATTATTCTTCACTATTTTTTTTTATGCATGTACTCCTATAAATTATGTAAATTTGTGTGTTCTTACAAAACTATTTGGCTAGGTTTTATTGTAAGATAGGAGCATAATAATTTAAGAGGAACAATATACTTTGACTTTGTATCTATTAAAAAAAACACTTATGCATCTTATTTTTAAGAACAAATATGCATCTCATATGCAGGGGCGGAGCCAGGAAAATGGCTCAGAGGGGTCGAAACTAACATATGTACAGAATGAAAATGTGGGATAGTTTTTAAACAATGTTTAATTGGAATATTTCATAAGCAATTTGAATAAATAGGCACTCGTATCAACAAGATAGATTGTTCTTGCTCTATTCTTGAGCCGTGTCACGTAAGTAATGAGTGAATTACACTCCATTTTTAAAATTTGGGAAAATAATCTATATTATGTATCAAATTTTGCTAATTTTACGTTTAGATAGTGCTGATTTTGCAGAAGGCATAACTTTTTACTCGTAATGAGTTACGAGGGCCATAATATATCAAATCGAAGATATTTCAGAGCTTTATACTCTCAAACTTTCTGCGGGGTCGGCTGACCACCCTGACCCCCTAGCTCCGCCCCTGCTCATATGTGAATATATGAACTATAAACATTGATTTTCTAATTGAATGAAGTGTGCATATTATTGTTGTGCATATTATTGTTTGAAAAAGTGGTGTAAAGTTAAATTTGACCCAAAATGGCAAAATGTATTGTAAAAGTACACCGAAAACATAAAATAGCATCTTGAAGGGAATATCTTGCTGCCCAATCCACACTAAACTAATCCAACGGCTGCAATTACCCTTACCCCTTCTACATATACGTCGCACCTACCCCGCTCTTCGTTGTCGTGCCGCATACTCTCGTTTTCTCCGAACCTGCTCTGTCTTCTGCGATCCAAAACTCCACTTCCATGGCTACCATCAAGTGCCTCAAGGCCCGTCAGATCTTTGACAGCCGTGGCAATCCTACCGTTGAGGTCCGTCATATGATCTCCTCTTCCGAATCTGCGATCAGCTCATTTTTGAATTTGGATCCGTTTAATCGGATAATAAGGTGTTTATTCGCTAATATCAATGATATGATTATTTGCAGGTTGATGTGCATTTGTCTAATGGCATCTGGTCCCGGGCTGCTGTTCCCAGCGGTGCCTCAACCGGTAAACTTCTCTCCCTCTTATCACTTTATCAGTACTAGGACTATGATGATTTATGTGTAAACGTGATTATGTTTTTGTCAATCTTGAGTCTGTTTTGTTGTGATCTAATAGGATTGATGGTCATGATAACTTTCTATTAATTACATTATGGCGATCTTATGTAGTTTATTATCTTGAATAACTTGTATAGCAATCAATGTGATGTTAAGTTCATAATTTGATTCGAATAAGCAAAAAGTTTAAAAATTGAATAAAATCAAATGGGTATAAGATGTAACTAAACATGTGTTAACACATTAAGAAAACGAACAAGGAAAGTGAACCCATAACTTATAGTTTTACATGCCACGCCATAAACAGATTTACATACTATTTACAGTGTAAATGACTTGAACGTCATACTCAAACCGCAAAAATAACTGGTAAAATCACAATAGCTACCACTTTAATATCATACTCTCTTAACATTTTCTTAGAACATATCATCACCGTGATTTTTTATGCTTTTGCTCTGATTCTATGGAATTCTGTAGGATTCTATTATGGTGTTGCATGACTTTATGAATATACAGTTTGATGAATGCTAATTCTGTTTGTTTGGTATTAAGTAGTTTGTAATCTGAAATTCTATTTGTTAATTTTCCATCCAAGGAGCGTTTCTCATTTTTTTCATCATTCAGGAATCTATGAAGCCCTCGAACTGAGGGATGGAGGATCAGAATACCTCGGCAAAGGTGTTTCAAAGGCTGTTAATAATGTCAACTCCATTATTGCCCCTGCACTTGTTGGCAAGGTTTGTTTTCAAATATTCACCTGGACATGCGTGTCAATTTGTTTAGTTTGTTTTGGTGTTCAGAAGTTTATTTTATGAAATAAAACCTAATACTATCTTATATGTCTAAAATAAGGATAATGGACAAAAATGTGTCTTAGCTTTTAGTAACTAATTTTGTTTACATTCTATGTTGCAGTGACCTTAAAAGTAAATGTATGCTCATAGTCACTTTAGTCATTTTTTGCCAAACACTTAATTGTGGTAATATATAAGGAAAAACCTCTTATTTGATTGTAATGCATCTGCAGGATCCTACTGATCAGACCGCTATTGA